TCAAAAATTCTACTTGGTATATTTAATTCAAAAGTAGAACTTATGCAGATTGATCATGTTTGCTAACTTGATCGAGTTTTCAGAGTTTTCACCATTTATCAATTATGTGAGTGCAGCTAAACTCATGACCTGTAAGGGATGTGGTGTCTCTCAGTTTTGTCAGTATTTGAGAAGGAGACAGAGACTTGAGAATATAGAAACCATGAATGTTTGAATAAAACAAAAAGCATTTCATGTTTTCCAGACTGAGGGCTCTACACAGTCTGTATAGCAGACTACGATCTGTATAGCAGATCCAGAAAGCCCTTGTTTTCAGAAAAGGAGCTAGAGGAGATATGCAAGGGTGGGGGTGGGAGAAGCCCTCCAAACGTGTGGCCTCCTGCCATGTGGGACTTTTTCTAGAAGTATGGCATGTAGCTAATAGCATAAGCTCATAAGCCAGACTCCCTGGGTTTGAAACCTGACTCTACCACTTTTGAGCTGTGAGAGCTTCCTCTCTTACTTAACGTAAGCCTCAGTTTCCCCCACAAGTAAAAAGGTAATGATAGTAGTAGTTACCTCAACAGGTTGTCATAAGGATTGAATGAGGTACTGTGCATAGAGCTTTGGCACACAAAGCATGCCCAATAAGCATTAGCTATGGTTTTACCACCCTTATGGAGCTCTGATACAATGAAAGCTTGTCCTTAAGAGATAGGTGTCTCTATCCTACTTTATTTCTTGTTGTGTAATACAGTAATACAATCTGTCCGCTGCAATATGTTGTACTATATTGCACAAGTAGCATGTGTGTGGTTGGAAACTAGGGGAATGAGGACAGTACCACATGGAAGTTGTATTGGTTCACATGCATTTTTTCCAAGGCAAGGAGAGCTGAAACAGCAGAGTAGAATGACAACTTCTGTTGTCCCATTTCAGTGGGAGAGGCTCAGTACGCTTTCAGTTCTGTTTTTATTTATTTTTTCATTTGTTTTTCTTTGATTTTAAATGAATACCTGCACTTGGGGCTCCCTCCTCAGAGAAGCACAGCCCAGCCTTGCGTGTCCAAGGTTGCATTTCCCCTGTGCCTGCCTTCACAGCACCCCACTGGCTCATACCTGCAAGCCAGTACCTGAAAGCCAGACTATCCATTTTATTATTTTTGTGCATAATATTTCCTGAAGCAGCTTCTGGTCCTACCAAACTGCCTGCCTTGGCTGTCCAAGTTACCTCCTGAGGCACATGGCTCATACCTGCAAGCCAGTACCTGAAAGCCAGACTATCCATTTTATTATTTTTGTGCATTTTTAATATTTCCTGAAGCAGCTTCTGGTCCTACCAAACTGCCTGCCTTGGCTGTCCAAGTTACCTCCTGAGGCACCAATTACTGTTTCTGTTAGTAAAGCAACTACACATTCACATGAGTTTTGAGTGTTCTGCCCTTAACCCATATTTTCTCCATAAGCCCTGTTACCTTCATTGTGCAATTTTGCCAAACGTGATGTTTTTCAGGAATGCACATATTATGTTTTACCAAATGCCCAATTTCTTTCACGTGCAGCAGAGGCAGCAGTAGCTAAAACGAAGACATGAAGGAACTGAACAAGGCCATCTTCGGGTGGGACAGATGTGTGGCATAATTCCGGGCTGCAAAGCTGGTCCCTCATCTGGAGGGCTCTGCGCTCTGCAGCCTTTGAAAGCACCTTCCCAGCCCAGAGCACTAAAGTGTGAGGCCCTGACCCCACCCAGTAGAGCAGAAAGAACACATTACTTTTGTGTTTCTGCCTTGCACAGAGAGTGTGTAGCAGCATGGATTAGTTAAATATATTTCTGAATAAAATCTCTTCACTTCATTTGAAATTTGTTCTTGGAAATGCACCTATTTTCTCCCTGCTTATCCCAGGTTTAAATACTTTCTACCTCCCTAGAATTCCTATGAGAATTTGTTTTTTGCTCTAGTAAAGCCTGGATCACATTCTACTTTTATTATTACAAAGCAATATGTGTATGTTGTAGCTAAATTTAATTGTAATCTCCTTGAGGGTAGGCACTTTGTTTACTTCACCTCTGTATTTCAACCATATTGCCCAGCACCATGTCTTTCACATAGTGAGTACTTAATATATGTTTACTAAGTGAACAAGTCCTTCAAAAGCCTTGATTTTTATTTGGGCCCTTTTGTAAGGAGTGTTTAGCAAAAGTGCACTATGAATTTTAATGCAGTGGTTAGAAGACATAGTTTTGCATAAAAAATTTCCTGTAGCTATTGGAAATTAGTCTGGGAAAGTAAAGACCAGAAAGCAGTGTAAGAATACCTTATATGAAATATGTTATTCATCTTTTTAAAAAATTAATAAGCAACAGTCAAGAATTATTTAATTTGGCTGCTCTGATAGTTCCTGTTTCTCTTTCCAAGGCTCTGGAGGTTGAATTGTTTCCCAAGGGAATACTAATTCAGAACAAACCTCAAGGTGATTCCTGCTTAGATAGGGAACTTGCTGGCAGATGGCAGGGTTCCGCTTCCACAGCGAGGGGAACATGTGGGCCTGGGGCTGATGGAGATGGGCTCATCTGCTTTAACTGAAATTCACGACCTCCATTGTCTCCCTCTTCTTGGGGAGTGTCCAGGTATCTCTTCAGTGTCTTTGCTGTCCAGCCCCACCCCCCATCCCATATCCTTAAAAGTCAGAATGTTTAATAATGAACTTATAGCAAATAGCTACAGGTAAAATTTATTTATAGTAAAAAATAGTACATGAATAGCTTTTTATGGATGATGCCACATTCATTGTTTAATTTGATCCTTTTCTATTAGTTTGCTAGGGATGTTGTAACAAAGTACCACAAACTGGTGGCTTAAACAACAGAAATTTATTGTCTCATGGTTCTGGAGGCCGGAAACCTGAAATCGGCAGGGTTGGTTCTTTCTGGGAGCTGTGAGAGACAATCTGTTCCATCTCTTTCTTCTAGCTTCTGGTGCTTAGCTGGCAATCTTTGGTATTCCTTGCGATATAGATCTCCACTTTCATCTTCACATGGTGTTCTCCTTGTGTATATGTGTGTCTGTGTCCAAATTTCCCCTTTTATAAGGACACCAGTCCAATTGGCTTAGGGGCCCACCTCCGCCCTATTCCACTCTGACCTTATCTTAGCTAATTACATCTGCAATGATTCTATTTCTAAGTGAAATCACATTCTGAGGTATTGGGGGTTTGGACTTCAACATATGAGGTTGGGGGGATATATGCAAAACATAACACCGTTATAGCAAGTAAAGCAGGAATTGCTCTTATTCCCATTTTATAGATAAAGAAACTGAGTCTCAGAGAGATGAAGTAACTTACCCAGTAAGTGAAAACCAGGGGTCACAAATGCAAGTCTGCAGTCTGGCTCAGTAGTCAGTGAGAGCCAGGTGGTGCCTCTTGCTATGAGCTCATCTAGCTCTTCTCACAGACTTGAACCAGTAAGAGCTGAGGCTGCACAGAGGTGTGTAAGGACAGGGGAGCTGGTCAAACGTGGTCTCCTCTTGGAATCAATTTAGCAGATGCCCTATTATTAAAAGTGTCACTTGCTGCCCTTATGGCTGCACCTCATGAGGTCTGGACCTCCAGGGGAAGTGTTTACTCAAGTTGTTTCTTGTAAGTCTGATGTTTCTCCCTGGTGGGCCCATCCCTGAGCCAAGGGGAACTGCATACAATGAGTCTATTCAGAGCTGAAAGTAAAATACCCCATGCTTCCTTTTTCTCTCTGTAGTGTCATTCTTTGACTCCCTGTGCCTTCCTTTTGTCCTGCCTATTGGGTAACATAAGTGTGGGTGTGGGGAGTGTGTGAATTGCCAGCAGTGTGAGAGCATGGCCAGGACACCTGCCTGATGATGCATGCACCAGGGCAGGCAGCAATGGGCGAGCTTCCCAGGAGCTGCATTGCCAACACACCCCCTTTGCCCTGTGCCTTCTGCTCTGCCTGAGTCACTCTCACCAGCTAAAGCTGGTGTCCCCTCATGGAGCATGGATTCCCCCGGGCAGAGAGGAGGACATGCCCGCTCTGTAAGCCCCTACCCTCGGGGAGCAGTGTAGGAAGTAGTCAAGTATCGATTCAAGAGACAGATTCTAATCCCAGCTCTGCCACTTGCCAGCCATGTGACTTTAGAGAAGATACTTAATCTCCCTGTTTCACTTCCTCATCTATAAAACAGAGTTGATAGATTTGTTCACCTCATAAGGTTACTGAATGGATAAGTAAGAGAAGCCATAAATAGTACTTGGAATAACATGTCATACTAGCACTCAGTAGATGTAAGCAATACTTTCTTATTTGTTTATTTACTTTATTTCCCATATGTCATTGTTAATGTGTTAATTAAAAACTGGCAGGATACATATCGAAAAGTTAACAGTGGTTGTGTCTAGATGATGAAATTACAGGTGATTTTATTGTCCTATTTTTGCATATTTATATTTTCTAAACTTTCTGCAGTAAATATGTATTACATTTTTAATAAAAGAAGATAAACTCCCCTTGAGAAGCTGTGCAGTTAGTGAACTAGGTGTGAGTGGTACACAGTGAAGAAGACATAACCATTGCTCTTAGTGGAGTTTAAAGTCTACGGAAGCAGATGGCAGGTAGACAAATGATACAAGAGGTGGGTGGTAGTACTCAGGTGAGGCTGAGTATGGGACCAGTCAAGTGGCACTTGGTATTACAAAGATGTTATCATCAGTCATGCCCCAACAGTCTTTGTATATGGTATTCTCTGGTCTGGAAATAGAAAAGTTAAGATGATACAGTCGGATAAGAGGACCAGTCCCTCAATCTATCCCAGTGCCCCAGGGGGATGGGAATGAAACTGCTGAGATTCCTTTATAAGGTAACTATTTCTAGGAAGGAGTGTATGTGGTAGAAAAAGTTGAGATGCCTTATGTAGCACATCTTATACATTGACAGATGTGCGCCCAGGTCACAAAGCCACATGTTAAATGGAATGAAAAAGTAATTTCCTGTTTCTCTCTGTTTTTCCATAGCATTATTAGCATCATCATTATTCTGGCTGGAGCAATTGCACTCATCATTGGCTTTGGTATTTCAGGTATGTGATTTCTTGCGTTACTATGGTTCATTCACCCCTCACCATTAAACCCCTGATCACTCAGTGTGGTAGCATGAAAAGAGCACAGCGCTTGGTCCCAGAAAACCTCAGAGTGGAGCACTCATTCTTCTACTTAATGTGCTCTCTTCACGAGTCGTTTAACTCCTTGGGCCCCAGTTTCCTCATTTTTAGAGTGGAGAAATAATGTGCACATCACCACTTAGTTGAGAGAAGCAAATGAGATGTTTATCAGTAGTCTGTCTACCAGTCAGTGCTGAAGATATTCTGGGATCATAGGGAAAGTGCTCTGTCTGAGCCATTCTATCAATGGTGGACCTAGATAGATGATTTCTTTGCAATGAAGCTTCAAGTGAAGCATTAAAAACTATCAAGACTTTGTATGCAGAGGCCTTAGATAAAAAGAAAGCTGGTCATGACTACTGTACCATGTAGGAACAGATGCCATTGTGGCATGGAATGTTAGTTTCCAAATGCAGCTAACCGATGTCACTTGCAGGAAGTTTTCTCTTTCCTCTTCTGTGTAGGCCATTTCTCTGAAACATCTATTATGAATGACCCTTTAATCATGATACTGAGTGAGTTAAGGACAGCAGCTGTGTTCTCGGAGGCAAATTGTTTGCTCTATTTCCTATAAACCACCTGACTCAGGCCAACACATTTATTTTAACTTAGTCTGTGACCAAAGCTGTCCCTTCATATCTTTGGTTTTTATTGTTCCAGGTGCCTATTCTCTCTGTCACTGTCCTCCAGTGTGGGTGTGCTGCCACTAAATAGTGGTCAAAGACTTAAATTAAGAACACTTGCTATAGGTGTGCTTGCCCAGAGAAGACATTAGCGCCCTTCCTCACTTTCTTTATCATCAAAAAAATTATTTTTTCTTTTGTCTGTTTTTCTATTGGGTTATCTGTCTTTTTCTTTTTGATATGTAGGTAATTCCTTATATATTCTGGATGAAAATTGGTTATATATATATTGACAAATCTCTTCTTATCTATGGCTCGCTTATTCACTCTCTTAATTATGTCTTTCAATGGGCAGAAGTTGTTAATTTTAACTTAGTCCAATTCATCAATATTTTTCTTTATATTTGGAGCTTTTGGTAACCTGTTTAAGAAATCTTTGCCTATCTCCAGGTCATAAAGGATTTTTCCTGGGTTATCTTGTAGAAACTTTATTGTTTTACTGTTCATGTTATATCTATGAACCATCTAGAATTAATTTTATGCATGGAGCAAGATAGGGGTCAAGATTTACTTTTTCCATGTGGCTATTCAGTAGACCCAGCTCCATTTATTGAAAACACTGTCCTTCCCCCACTTCTTTCCAGTGCTATCATTGTGATAAATCAAGTATCCTTGTGTGTGTGGATCTGTTTCTGAATTCTCTAGGCTGTTTCAATATTCTTCTATAATTTATTTTTTTATTTATGTTATTTTATCTCTTTTCCTATTCTTAATCTTGGGCATTCTCTCTCTTTCTCTCTCTCTCTCTCTCTCATCTCAAATAGGTTTACAAAGCTACAGGTGTTATTGGCTTTACAGTAGTTTTCAAAGAACCAGCTTTTAGTTTATGGTTTATTTATACTTTTTCTGATTTGTTTTCCTATTTTACTAATTTTGGCTTTTATCTTTATTAATGTTCCTCTTCCTGCTTTATTTGGCTGTCACCTCATTCTTTTTTCTAATATCTTGAAACCAGAACTTCACAAAAGAGTATGTGCAAAAAGCCAATAAATTGCTTTAAGGAGGTACTGCCATTCAGTTTTCCAAATTAATTTACTAATTTAATCTTCACCAGAAGCACATGAGAGATCCAGTGCTCACATCCTCACCAACACTGGATGTTGTGGAATCTTGTGGTTTCAATTTCTATTTCCTGATGACTAAGGAGACTCAGAACATTTTCATATAAGACACATAATGCTGAGTGACAGAAGAGCCCGAGAGTATGTTCTGCATGATTCCATGCACATAAAACTCAAAAACAGGCAAATGAATCTCTGCTGTTAAAAGGTAGAATAATGGTTATTACCTTTGGAGAATAGTGAGGGGGCAGCGATGAGGAGGGGCCATCGGGAACTTCTGGGAAGGCAGTAAAAGTCTATTTCTTGGTCTGATGGTGGTTACATGGGATGAAGTTATGATAATTCTTCAAGCTGTATAGTTATGATATGTGGATTTACATATATAAGGAAATAAATATTGACTGATACAGCAATATTTTGGAATAACCGGGAGCGCCGCCACGCTTCCCAAGCGGCGCACTATCCAGTGCGCCACCGGGCTGGCCCCTGGAATAACTTTTAAAGACATTAATGCTCAGGTACATTTTGGTACCTTCCTCACTAAGGTGCCAAACTCTTCCCTAGTTATAATATACCCTATTCCTGAGTTTTTACCTCATCTTGAATTAAAACCCTAATGTTTGTCCTTCACTCTAAATCTTGATGACTAAACCTTCTTGAGCCTAGGGCTAACTGGCTTGGCATCAGAGCCCTTAGGGAGTTGTTTATCTTGTGGTGTTAGTGGCTTTGACCACCCTAGCAAGAATTTTCACATTGTCATCGCTTCCCTGTGTCAGTCGACACTTTTGCTGCTTACACCTTTCCCTGTTGCGTAGCTATAGCAACTTCAAGTACTGAGCTCAGTTCCTTGAATACAGAGGGTGCTCCTTATGTGCTTTTGAATGAACAAATGGGTGGATGCATGGAGGAGTGAATAAATAGAAGTTACAGTCTACTGAATCTAGTAACGTACCACCAATAATATTAAAAATCCTACTATTGCCAGTGAAGAGGTTTTCTGCCTCCTTCCTGTTTCACAAGGTTAAAGCTTGTTATTTTGGATAAAATGTACTGTTCATTAGTTTAATACTATTTAGTTGGATGTTTTTCAATAGCCTCTATTAGAAGAACCATAACCTTTACCATAGATCATATAACCTTTACCATAGATCACACCATATAACCTTTACCATATAACCTTTACCATAACCTTTACCATAGATCACACTTTAAATGAATTCCATAAATGTTAGTTGGTTTAATATACAAGACATTGAAATTATGCAAATAGCATTAAGTAGATGATGATGATGATAATATCTTCTGAATCCTTTCTTGTGCACCCTACTGCACTAAATAACTTTTCATGTATTATCTGATTTATTACTCACAATACATAGGAGGTAGATATTATTGCTATGTCCAGATGAGAAACTTGTGTAAAGTCCCACACAGCTAGCAAGTAGGCGTGGCTGTGTTCAAGCCCTGGTAGTTTTCTTCCAGAACCCACACTTCTACCTACCACACTACATTAATTATATCATTCACATAGAATTATGGCAGAGAAGGGTGTTTTCTGGTTTGCCTTGCAGGCATTATTCCTGCAACCACAGCTTTAAGACTTAAAAATATTCCCAAATACAGAAAAGAATTATATTTCTTTGTAACTCTCCTGATGCCATATATGCCACCTTCTCATAGCCATCCTACTCCTTACAAATTCTAAATATGGACCCCATCAAGCATAAAATGCATTTGAGGTGGATTATTTGGAAGAAAGTTTGAGGGGCTCCCATTAACTCCAGACTTTGTGGATACCCTTTGAAAATGAAGGAGATGTAGTGGAAAGGCCTCTGACCATACTTAACCCAGTCCCTGTGCTGTCGCTTACTCACTGGGTGACTTTGGACAGCTCATATAGTGGAAGAGTTTAAGAATCAGAATCATTCCAATCTCAGATCTGACACTAACTGTATGTCCTTTGGGATACAACTTAACTTTCCAGAATCAGTTTCCTTACTGGTAAAATAGGCAAAGTTCTGCGAGAATTAAATGAGGGTGTAAAGTGGCTAACACGTGTGTGATAAATGGCTGCCATTTTTTATTTATATTGACATCATCAATGCTATTAATAAAAATCTGCTGTTATTAATGCATGCATATAGCACCACTTAGGAACTGCACAATTTCCTGGTCACATCAGGACAGGCCACATTTGAGGTTAGGGAGGTCAGGGCAGGAAACCACAGGAAACTGCCTCCAAATAATGCTCTACCTTCAGACACTGGATAAACCAACAAGGTCTGTGCTTATAGCACCAAAACAGGAGCATTGCACAATTGTTTGGTAAGTATTTTATATATTTTTTAAAAATTGCAGGTTTATGAGAAAACAATCAAATAACTGTTGGTCTCTCTTACATTCATTTTATATGCTTATAGCACCAAAACAGGAGCATTGCACAATTGTTTGGTAAGTATTTTATATATTTTTTTAAAAATTGCAGGTTTATGAGAAAACAATCAAATAACTGTTGGTCTCTCTTACACTCATTTTATGGTTTTTAATTGTTCTTGTTTTTAAATGAGGCAAGGATATCTTTTTGGTGGGTTAGTTCTCTCCATATCTCAATCTGACCCTAGGTATCAGCAAAATGTGGTACAAAGCACACAGACTTGGTGACAGCCAAGGTTGGGTTTGATCCTGGCTCCACACTTACAGGATATAGGTAATTAGGCAAGCCATATAATCACAGAGCCTCTTTATCCTCATTCATCAAATGGGTATAATGGTCATTCTTGCCTCTTATGGCTTAAAATCGTCACTGTAAGTAAAGCATTTAGTAAAATATTACTTTCCTTACCTCCTGAGGCTCTGATCTTCAATCTTTCCAAATGATTCTAGTTAGTAATGGTTATCAATATCACTGATTTAAGGTTTAACATATGACAAGTCAGATATTTTACCTGCATTGTATCATTTGGTCCTTTCAGGGACCCTCTGAAGGTGCATCTTCATTTTACAGATAAAAAAAGAGGTTAGGAAACTTGTCCAAGGTCACATATCCAATAAGTGGCAGAGCTGGGACTTGAACCCACTCAGCCTGACACCTGTGCCATGTTCTCAAACATCACGCTCTGCTGCTTCCTTGCGTTGTTCCTTTATCTGGCCTGGCCCAGTATCCTTTCTAATTTCTTCTCACAGGAGCAACTGCTCTTCCCAACCCCACCCTCTTCTTTGGCAAAAGAGGCACTCACAGGTACTCCCCCAGGCTCCACTGGCTCAGACTGAAGCCTTGTGTTCCCACCTTTTAGCCATGTGCCGTGGACAGCTGGGTTTCAGCAGATGCTGAGTGGGTTCAAGTCCCATAGTATGTATGCACTCTGTGCTACTGGAACTCACAGAACTTGTCTTACTGAGTCATTTCAAAGGACAGTTTATTTTCCAGGTCTTATCCAGTGCTGCAGGTTGCCCCAGAATCATAATTTCTGTAAGAATCCTTGCCTTGTATGTTCCTTGTACCCCGCTCTCCAAGATACTCCTGTTCCTACAATGGAGGGCCAGTTGAATAGCACTCACCCCCTGTGAAAACAGAACTGCTCGGATTTCAGCTTGCTCCCTTTTGATGGCCCCCCTTTCTTCATGGAGTCCAGAACTATAGTACTGATTAGCCTTCAAGAGCAGGATACTTTATTTTCTGTAAGTGGCTGGGTCTTCCCATTTTAAAGGGATCTGATGAACTCTTAGAGGCCAATGAAATACTTAAAATCTGTACCTGTTTAACAGAATTCTCTGTCAATAGATAGCTGCCTCTAACCCATCTCCATAGGGCCAAGCCTTTGGTGCAATAGGCCTGAAGAGTCTTATCAGGCCAGGCTGCACAACACTCCTTGAGCTAATATTTGTTTGCAAATTTGAATGCAGACTCTTTTTTTGTGAGAAGTAACATTTACATACTGTTGCTTGCAAATTGAATTTCATTTTATCACTCTTAACCATCACTTACTCATTTAATGAACAATTATTTATTGACTNCTTCTTTGGCAAAAGAGGCACTCACAGGTACTCCCCCAGGCTCCACTGGCTCAGACTGAAGACTTGTGTTCCCACCTTTAAGCCATGTGCCGTGGACAGCTGGGTTTCAGCAGATGCTGAGTGGCCATCTGCAGAAGGCTTCTAGTATGTATGCACTCTATGCTACTGGAACTCACAGAACTTGTCTTACTGAGTCATTTCAAAGGACAGTTTATTTTCCAGGTCTTATCCAGTGCTGCAGGTTGCCCCAGAATCATAATTTCTGTAAGAATCCTTGCCTTGTATGTTCCTTGTACCCCGCTCTCCAAGATACTCCTGTTCCTACAATGGAGGGCCAGTTGAATAGCACTCACCCCCTGTGAAAACAGAGCTGCTCGGATTTCAGCTTGCTCCCTTTTGATGGCCCCCCTTTCTTCATGGAGTCCAGAGCTATAGTACTGATTAGCCTTCAAGAGCTGGATACTTTATTTTCTGTAAGTGGCTGGGTCTTCCCATTTTAAAGGGATCTGATGAACTCTTAGAGGCCAATGAAATACTTAAAATCTGTCCCTGTTTAACAGAATTCTCTGTCAATAGATAGCTGCCTCTAACCCATCTCCATAGGGCCAAGCCTTTGGTGCAATAGTCCTGAAGAGTCTTATCAGGCCAGGCTGCACAATACTCCTTGAGCTAATATTTGTTTGCAAATTTGAATGCAGACTCTTTTTTTGTGAGAAGTAATATTTACATACTGTTGCTTGCAAATTAAATTTCATTTTATCACTCTTAACCATCACTTACTCATTTAATGAACAATTATTTATTGACTGCTTTCTGTGTGCAGAGCAATAGCTAGGACCTCACTGGCTTTTATTTCTCCTCTTTATTTGGCATGGGGTGGGGAGAAGATTTAATTGACATTACACTCATCCCATCTGCCATGTTATTAATGCAACCTTAACTGACTGGAACCTGCAGCAGGTCCCTGGGGCATTCCACATCTGCCTACTTTTAATCATTAAGTTCTCTAGGAGATAGTTCAGCAGATTCCCTACCTGTGGGCTCAAGGCCCACACATTAAAATTAATTCAGTAACACAATTACCGAACTAAGATGTCATTACCATTTCATTCTCTCCATAAACTGTGCTAATCATGTATTTTTTCCGAAAAGTAATTTTTCAATTCCACTTTAATGGCACTTTATAAATGACAATCAAATTTAACCTTGCTCTAACATAGTTACATTTGCTCCATGATTTTACTGAGAATCTCTGTGTATTTCATTGCCTCCTTTTTCACTGGCTCACATTTCCCCAAAATTTAGACGTGGTAATCCTGCCAAATGCTCCCTACTCCTACAATCATTTTGGATAGATTATCTCAAAAAATACTTTGGTTTCTATTGATTTCCATTTATTCATTCATTTATTCATGCACTCAGCACATATTTTTCTCTGTAGAAACATAGGACCAGGTATTATAAGACTTACAGATATGATGAAGACAGTTTCTGCCCTTGAAAAGCTTGTAAATCATTGCCAGAGACAGACCAGAGACCAAGTAGAGGGAGACAGCTGCTACAATAAAAGCGAAAGAAAGTGTTAAAGGGGGTTGAAGAGAGAATCTACAAATTGTGTGTTGGTGGATTAAAAGAAGTTTTCATGGGAGGGCTGCCATCTGAACAGACTTGAATATGAGTAGAATTTGGACAACTGGTGATAAAGGAGAGGAGGGAACTATAAACTGTAAGTGCGAGATGAGCAGGGATGTGAAGGTGCCTGGTGTAATTGTGTAACCCGTGCTAGCCTGGGAAGTTTTGGATGTAAGTCTGTCAAGTAAATAATTGGAAAGCAAACTGAATCTTTAAAGCAGTGTTGAAGAAAATGCCAAGGCAGGGGATGGGGGTGTGTTGCATTCATATTACACAGCAAAAACTTCATATTACTCTCTTTCGCAACTTCTCTCTCAAATCTCCCACGTGAATGGCCATGCACGGCAGCTACCCCCAAAGTCTCTCTTCTCCCATGCTCTCAAGCCTCCAAAATATCCTCCCAACCCAGCCTATGCACATTTTTGTTTCCTCTGCCTTTTCTAGCTATAATTTTTCTTCCATCAGTATCTCTCTGTTCTTCCTAATGCAAATCCATCTAGCTTAGCTTCTCCAGTTCTGTCCCATTCATTACGCTCATCTACTGTATAAAGGTCTAGGAGTCAATTAGACAATTCCAACTCCTGATGGGCTGGAAGAGAAGGGCCAAGGATATACCTATGTTTATAGTGATTACCTCTTACAATTGAAAAAGAACATGTATGATTTGTGTATTTTTTATTGAAGGCAGAAAATCCAACAAATCATTTGATATAAATAGACAGAATGGACTATGAAAGGATATAGTGGTAGATTAGGCTGCAGAGATAACAATTAGAGCTAATATTTATGGAGCGTTAACTGTGTGCCAGGCAGCATTTGGCTTTGAAAGCCATGCTGGGAAATCTGAAATTCATTCCACAGCCCCTAGGAGCCATGGAGATTAGTGATTAGAAAACAGACATGTTCAGATTATACTTTAAGAAAGTCCACCTATAAGATTAACACATGTAAAATAGATTAGATGGAGGCAAAGACGAAAGACAAGGGTATCAATAAGTAAGCTGAAAAGTCCAGTTGACAAGTGCTCAGGACCCATCATGTTGAGCTTCTTTGGCTATACAGAAGAGAGGCTTGTGCAGGCCATTTTAACAGAAGGTGTTTGTTTAAAGGATATGCAGAGTTTGGGACAGGAACTAGACCTGAACATCCTCAGGATCCAAGACAGCTCTGGGGATGGAGGACTGTCTCCATCTTTCTCTCTCATGGTCACTCCCTCACATTTCTTTGTGTCTGCTCCACTCTCCTCTTGGGCTCCAAGGCCTCCCTCTCCTTAGCTTCACATCCAGAGTACAGAAGGAGCCTCTCAAGAAGATTCAGTTAATTTAACCATCCCTACAGGTGTCCTCAGTCAGCATCTTCCAGTGCACAAAGAACAGCTGGTTGATCCTTCCCTGACTGGGTGGGCTATAGGCTAGGCGAGTGGGGAAGAAGCAGTTGGACACAGATGGCACCATAATTAATACAGCCATGTGTCACATCATTAGGCAATTTCATCATTGTGCAAACGTTATAGAGTGCACTTATACACACCTAGATGGTATAGCCCACTACACAACTAGTCTATATGGTACAGCTATTATAATCTTACAGGACCACCATTGTATACGTGGTCCATCATTGACTGAAACATTGTTATGTGGCACATGATTGTGTTTATACCAGTGATATGTTTGGAGAAGAGGGGTGGCTTCTGTCTTAGACCAAAAATCAACTGAATTAAGTACCATTCTTCATCATGCCATAGCTAGCACCTTAACCTTCACCAATTCACTTATCTTCTCTATGCCTTAGTTTCTTCATCATTCAAATAGAAATCAAAAATAACAGCACCTTAAAATTTAGCGTTCTTCGAAATTACTAGCCACCTTTAGTTAACATGAGGTTTCACTTCTGTGCTACTTCTGGTTAACTAAGATTAACAATACCTTATATGTGTACTTACAGTTTGCAAATCAAGTTCACATCCATTTGATTTGATCCTCACAAGAACCCCTTAAGGTAGGTAAGACAGATATTGTTACCTCCATGTTTCTGAGATGCAGAGAGATTACATGACTTATTGAAGGTCACACAGCTATTAAGTGACAAAGCCAAGTCTTGAATTCTCATCTTCAAACCCCACATTCAATGTGTTTTCCTCATGCTTTCTCTTTAAGGTTTGGGTTACTTGGTCTTATAAAAGCTATTGTGTATGGCAGATCTGCTGTAGATATCAAAGTTATTGTCTTTCTGCTCTTTCTATTCTTGTATTTTTAATGCCTCTCCTGCTTTTCTGTATTTCTAATTTATCATGGAAGACTCTGTCTGGCTTTTAGTAATGAAGGGTTTGGCTGTAGAAGTGCCAGGGCTTCCCTTGACATTGATCCTTGCTCCCTGAATTGCAGGGAGACACTCCATCACGGTCACTACTCTCACCTCGGCTGGGAACATTGGGGAGGATGGAATCCTGAGCTGCACTTTTGAACCTGACATCAAACTTTCTGATATCGTGATACAATGGCTAAAGGAAGGTGTTATGGGCTTGGTCCATGAGTTCAAAGAAGGCAAAGACAACCTGTCAGACCAGGATGAAATGTTCAGAGGCCGGACAGCAGTGTTTGCTGATCAAGTGATAGTTGGCAATGCCTCTCTGAGGCTGAAAAACGTGCGACTCACAGATGCTGGCACCTACAAATGTTACATCATCACTTCTAAAGGCAAGGGGAATGCTAACCTTGAGTATAAAACTGGAGGTGAGTTACTTTTGGAGAGAGGGAAAGAAAGCACCAAAAGGTATTTGAGGATAAAGATCATGAGTTGCTAATGAAGTATCATGTTGTGCTCATAAATTAATAATATTAAACAAAAACTCCCAATTCTGCAAGCAGCCATCCTTGCCATTTTATGTCCAAGACCCACATCAACCCTATAAGTATCCAACTATAATATTAGGTCTTAAAATCTTTTGTTCTGAGCTCTTGCTGCTTCTGACTTTTGGGGTGTATTCCCTAAAATATTTTGCAAAAATAAATGTAGTCTCTTTTATGGTAGCCCCTGGTACTGCTACTAAGGAAAGCCTATAATCTGGCCTGGAATGTTTCTGTGCTTAGTAGGGCCAAGCCTGAGTCAAATCAGTACCTCCAAAAACTCATTCAAGCAGAACCTGTTTTAGGAGAAGTTCAAAGGGAACTAACCAAAACAATATTGTACTATAAACTCATTGATCCTCTCCCCTCAGTGAAATCCACCCTTCCTTGCCAACCCAATTTAACATGTCCTTTGAATTTATGGACAAAGGACTCTGATACTGTGAAAAATATAAAGTTTGTCAAGTAAACAAAGATGATTGTCCCTCTTCCTGCAGAGTTCATAGTGTAGATCTTAGAGTTGAGGGTCAGTGCAGGGATAAGAAAAGTATGTAAATAGCTATAATAATTGGTAAAGTATATCAAATGCTTTAAGAGAAATACAGTAATTCAGGGATTCAGAGGAAGAGAGAGATCACATTCAAATGCATAGGAGGGAAGGGTTAAAAAAGCCCTGATGGAGAATTTGGCAGGAGCCTTGAAGGAGATAGGCAAAAAGTATTGTAAGCCCTCCTAACCTAAAATAGTCTGCACGAGCCTTTCTTAAACACCTCATAACATGTGAATGGAATGATTCAATGTACAGATGTAGAATCAGACTTGGCCTGGGCAAGGCAATCTTTCTGAGCCTCAGTGTCTTCATCTTAAAATGGTAATTAATGGGGTCACGTCAAAGGGACTCTGGAGCCAACCGGAAGAGCTTCCAATGGCAAAGTTGGAACAATTTAAGCAACAAAATAAATAATATAGTATTGAATTATAATTCAAAGTATAAAATAAATACATGAGTCCATACTTAAATAAATAAATGAGGGAGATGAAACAATCTTCCTTATAGATGAAGTCCAAATAATTTATTGATCTCTCCCCTCTAGAAGATCAAGTTTAATACCCTCCCCACCCCACTCAGGGTGTGTTGGACTTAGTGAAGTTCAGCTTCCAAAGAAACCTGGCAAACACTGCCTCAGCCAGGTGATCAAGGTTAGCATCATCAGTGATAAGTCACGTTGATAGCATGTCCCTTCTGATATGATGTGATGAGAAGGGACTTTTCCTCTTGTAGTCTTCCTCTCTAAAACCATAACCTCAGTCTAACCATGAGAAAAACATAAGACAGATTCTAATAGAGAGGCATCCTACAAAATACCTGAACAGTAATCCTCAAAACTGTCCAGGTCATGAAAAACATGGAAAGACTGAGAAAATGTCATAAACTGGGAGAACCTAAGGAGACATGATGACTAAAAGCATTGTGGTATCCTGGATGGGACCCTGGAAAAGAAAAAGCACATCAGTGGAAAAACTGGTGAAATCCAAATAAAGTCTGGAGTTCAGTTAATAGTGGTGTACCAATGATGGTTTCTCAGTTTTGAGAAATGCACCACGGTTAATATGTTAACATTAGAGAAAACTGTGTGAGAAGTATACAGGAACTCTCGGAACTATCTTTGCAACTTTGCTGCAAATCTAAAACTATTCCAGAATTAAAGTTTATTTTTCAAATGGGGATAATAATAGATATTCTTAGGATTGTTGCGCAGATCAAATGAAATAATGTCTGGAATACATTGCTGGCACAGAATACACCCTCAGCAAGTGGTAGTTCATGGTCATATACACTTAGTTCCCCACATCATCTCCTAGGAGCTTGTTCCCTGCCTGCTCCAAGCATGTGGGTCTTGTCTCCCCTGTGAGATGACAGGCTCATTAATGGCAGGGCAAGGGCTTTCCTTTTACCACTCACTCAGCACCAGCCCAGCCCTGGCAAAAGAAGATGCTAAATAAATTAATAAATTGTATCTTGCCATTTTAGCATAATAATAAGCCCAGGATTTAATATTTCCACAAGTGTCTCTCTGCCGAGATATAGGGGAAAAGCTATATCTAATTTCAAAATGCAGTTACCTCTCCAGTGAGGAAAGTTATATTAGAAGAAAATAAATGCCTATTTCTATTCCTGGATGCCAGGGCTGAACAGTCTCCACCCAAGCAAACTCTAAGTCCCCAGGATGAAGAGGCCTGTGTATGGAATTTCTGTGGGTGACAGATGAGTGCTGTTTGTTTGTTTCTTCTCCCCCCCACCCTAACTTTATCCTCCAGGCAAAAAAATGCAAAAAATCCAAAAGGCTTCACAGGCCTGGGAAAATGCCCAATTTCCCAAAGGGATAAGGTTTTTTATGGTCATAGGAGTTCCTCTCACTTAGAGAAAATTATCTGTTGTAACAATAGTATATCTAGAACTTAGGTCCTTGAGGTTTGTGATGTTGACTAAAGGGTTATGATGTTTAGAAATACTATTAGCAAATCATTTTTTGCATCTAGAATACAATGGGCCATATACACACAGCACCCTGGGGAAGTATCACGTCACTTCAGTGGTAGAAATAACTGTGTTTTTAAGACCCGCTATTTCAAAGGCTATATTGTCTTATCTGTCTCACCTTGACGTCTTCCCTTTTTGACCTTTGACTCTGTAGCCTTCAGCATGCCAGAGGTGAATGTGGACTATAATGCCAGTTCAGAGAGCTTGCGGTGTGAGGCTCCCCGATGGTTCCCCCAGCCCACAGTGGTCTGGGCATCCCAAGTAGACCAGGGAGCCAATTTCTCAGAAGTCTCCAATACCAGCTTTGAGCTGAACTCTGAAAATGTGACCATGAAGGTTGTCTCTGTGCTCTACAATGTCACGATCAACAACACATACTCCTGTATGATTGAAAACGACATTGCCAAAGCCACAGGGGATATTAAAGTGACAGGTGGGTTCCTCCACGCTTTTTGTATGGTTTATTGGGGAGAAAATAAAATCTAAATTAAAATTCAATTTCTCTAACACTTACATTATGTACCAGGACACAAAAATCTCTAGAGTCTTCTTCACTGGGACTTTGATCACAATTCCAGTTGGGATTGCATTATGTAAGAGAAAACCTAACACAAAATGATATATGCCATATAGGTCAAAGACGGCAATTAGGCTTCATCTCATATGCCTTCTACTTGACTGGTTGTCTGGATAGCAGTGTTCAGGATTCTGGGGCTCTGTCTAACTAAATAGGACTACTTTGGTGTAGCAGTGGGGAAGTGATGCTTATGTGACATCTTTGATGTATTTGGCTGGTATACTACATCCTAAGCCCCCCCAAACTGCTTTGGTTCTAGCCTGCCTCCTAGAAGGCTTTGAATCTGAAGATTAAAGGTCTGAATTCTGACTTAGTCTTATTCAGCTCTCATTATACACTAATATTAGCCCTGAATTAGTCTGAAAGCTCTAGATTGAACTGGCCTCACAGCACCCTAGTCTTTCTGCAGTGCTTTAGTGCATATAAAACCTAGAGTTGAGTTGGTGTCAAGAAAATGCATAGACTGAATTATGACTTTTAAGACCATTCCTGTTGGGGCTAAATTGGATTCAGACTGTAGTGGAAGGAGTATGAACTGCTGTCTGCCAAACCTAGTACTAGGCAGAAAATATCTTACACATTGTAAGTGTCCTATAAATGTTTTCTGAATTTAAAGAAATGAATCAGATTCTTATCAGCTTATTTTTTATTTAAAATTATATATGAAAAAGTAACCTATGGAATGGGAGAAAATATTCAAAAATCATGTACTAATAAGGGGTTAATATCCAGAATATATAAGGAACTTCTACAACTCAACAACAAAAAATTTGAATAACCCAATTTAAAAGTGGGCAAAGGACATTTATCCAAAGATGATATACAAATGGCCAGAAAGCACACAAAAAGATGTTTAATATCAGTAATCATCAGAGAAATGCAAACCAAAACTACAGTGAGATACCGCCTCACACCCATCAGGATGTCTATTTTCAAAACAAACAAAAAAATAACAAGTGTTGGTGAGAATGTGGAGAAACTGGAACACTCATGCACTGTTGGTAGGATTATAAATGGTGCACTATAGAAAACAGTATAGAAGTTCCTTAAAAAATTAAAAATGGAACTACCATATGATCTAGCAATCCCACTTCTGGATATATATCCAAAAGAATTCAAAGCAGAGTCTTGAAGAGATATTTATTCACCCATGTTCATAATCTACAGGCTTTGGTGAGGCAAATGTGAAGGTCAAGAAAAATAACAAGTCAAAATGGGTTTGATATTTCTATACAGAATGCTTAGGAGCTTGGTAACGCTACCAGCAAAATAACAGAAACATAGAAGCAACATGTGTGGGGAGAAGATGAAGGTTCTAGAGATCTTTAGTTTAAAATGCCCAGGTTATACACAGGTAGAGATACCCAATGTTTAGCACATTACCCAGTACATGATAGGTTTTGGGGAGAATTCTACATCCCTACTCCACATATTTCTTTCCATGAGAAGGGATCCCCACCCATGCAAACATTTTAGACTCTCTCTCCCTCTCTCACTCTTCCCTGGAGGAGAAGGAATTAATTTATCTGATTGGTGAGTATATTAGGAGAAGCTGGAAATCAGCAGCTCAGCTCTTTCTTTTTCTCTTTCTCTTTAACCAACTCTCAGGAGGTATATATTCTGGTCTGCTCCTCCAAGTCATCAATTTTTCAGGGGTAGAATCTGCCCTTGCAGGAGGAAGCCTCCCCCAATCTAGTTTTGCAGCTCACTTGCCTGCCTACAAAGCCTCATCCTTTATTATCAGATTTTATAGCAAAAAAAAGGTGATATTTTGGTTTTCTGGTACCTTACTGTTTTTGTTCTTCTCTTTAATTAGTTCAGAAATACTCCTTTGAACACCAACAGTAGGTGCTCAAAAATATTTACTGAATAATTGTGTTTTTCACTGACACATCTAGTAACATCTGTAAATCCAGATGTGGAACTCAGGACAGAGTTCAAGCTAAGGAGGTAGATTTGGAAATGATCAGCGTGGAAGTAATGCTTGTCAGGCTTGAATGGGGTTACTATTATTTTTGTTTTTATAGCTAATATTTATTGAGTCCTTGCTGTGTGCCAGGCATCTTTCTAAGTGCTTTACATGTTAACTCATTAATCTTAAGAACCCTATGAAGTAAGTTATTGTTACTTCAGCTCCATTTTACAGATGAAGAAACTGGAGCATATATGTGTTGAGTTACTTGCCTAAACTCACACAGCTAGTAAATGACAGAGCAGAAATGAACTAAATGAGATTGGATTATCTGGGGAGAAAACAGAGCAAAAGAAGAGTATTTCCATTTCTCCACTCCTACCTTTCTCTACTTCACAGTGAGAATAATACTTCCTTATCGCTTTATACTGGTATGACAAAAGCTAATGACATGAACCTGCAAAAGTCACTGCTTCCAGGGAAAATAAGTCTGAAACCAGGGACTAGCCATGGCTGTTTGTTTAGCCTATACTTTTTTGATAGCCAATAACAATCTCTTTATTGGTATAGTTTTTCATTTGGCTGAGTGCTCACTGGAGTGGCCTACAGATCAGAACTTCCTTTGAAAAAAGGGGAAAGCTCTGCTTTTAAGCCAGTAACTGAAAAGTGGAGAAAGGGAAACAAAATTGCCTGTATTAGGGACAACTTGTTCTGTTTTTCAGGTACTTTTCTTTGCTATCCAGTCATGTGAAGAAGACATCTAGCTTCTCCTATATGACCATGAACTTTTTTCTCTCCCTTTACAGACTCTGAGATCAAAAGGCGGAGTCACCTACAGCTACTGAACTCAAAGGCTACCCTGTGTGCCTCTTCTTTCTTTGCCATCAGCTGGGTACTCCTACCACTCTCCCCTTACCTGATGCTAAAATAATGTGCCTTGGCCACACATGAACATGCAAAGTCATTGGTAGAACAGGTGAGATGAATCACAAATAGTGTGGGAGATTGTTTCTGTGTGTGCCTGTGTTCCTAACAAGAGTCAAGTAGCCCTCAGACGTAGAGAGAAACATTTAATGATGCCAGAGCAATGACAGTATTTCCACTAGTATTGTGAAAGGTAATCGTTTGTTAGTTTAACAAAGAGCATACACTTCATTGACAGTTTTATAGGAAATACACCTCCATACAATGAAAATATTTGTGTAATTCAAATACCTTTTTATTTACTGTCATCAATGAAGGCAAAAATATCTTACTGAAGAGAAAGAGGTGTTTAGTCCTGACTAGTTACCATGGATTTTACTGTTATTTATAAGGCATAATGATATGCACAAAACCACTCCCCTCAGTGACCTCTCCCCCACCTCTCCAACAAGGTCCTGTTGACAGGAGAGTTGGCAGATGACTCACCAACTAGCCCTCCTGCTGAGACTTTTCACTGTCACTTCAGTCCTCTGGCTCCAATTATTATTAGGATATTTCCTTCTGAATATTCTTCTGCATATGAAATTTGTATAAAACCGAGTTCATGAAGTTCCCATCCACGCTCGTATGTTACTCAGCGGCATCCCCACCAAGCCTCTACGCTAACAACCTTAGACTGTCTGTGTCTCTCCTCTGTCGTTCACGTCAATTTGTCACCAAGCCCTACAGTATTTTCCCCAGTGTTGTCTCTCAGACTGACCCTAATCCAGCTTTCATCACCTCACAACCAGGCCGGTTCTAAAACCTTGTACTTGTTTCTTCCTCTCCCTGCTTCAGGTGATAAGAAACAAGGTGCCAGAATAAAAGCATTCAAACGCTGCATCACAGCATTCCTTTGCTCTGGGACTTAAAGTGACTCTGTAGATACTATCGTATCAAAGTTATAGTCCTCAGCTGTGCAGTCACAGCCCTCTAACAGTTCGTCTGTCTAAGCTTCCTCCTTTTCAACTATGTACCACCACTCTCTGGCCCTGCTTCCATTCTCACCGCCCCTTCCTGAAAATCTCCCCTTCTCTGTGGCAATGTATATCCACTACTTCCTTTATCCATTTCAGGAAAGTGCTTCCTAGCTTATAGCTCCTTTTCCTGAGGGTCCTTGTATTTCACATCCCCTTGGCGTGCATGTATAATTTATATCTTATACTGTCTAAGACACATGTATTCCTTGTCTAGATTGTTAATTTCTCAAGGGCAGGCAAAGATCTGTTGATCTGCTTCTTTTTGTTCTTGCTCTTGTTCTATGAGCTCTTACTACAGGGCAATGCTCAAAGTAGATTTTTTTTTTTTTTTTCTCCTTTTTTGTCTTTTTTCGTGACCGGCAACGGATCACAACCCTCAGTGTCGCACCCGTACCGGACTGGGACCAGCAACAGGATCGCAACCCTCGGTGTTGCACCCGCACCTCGCTCAGCCAGTGAGCGGCCGTTTGAATGCAAGTTCTGCCACTTAGCTAGGCGACCTTGGGCATGTTACTTAAAATGTATAACCCACAGATTCTATGTTTAAAACACTTGGAATATATTACATGCTCAATGCATGTTGTTCTCCTTGGAGATGCTGATTACAGATGCAGTTCTAATTATTTCTGATTATCAAAGTCATACATTCATAGCATGTTTGCTAGGGAGAGGGAAGAGGTGGGGCATCGAACTGGAAGGATGAAACGGTGATTGCAATATTTATAATATTTATATTTTGACCCCTTACCCTAACTCACCACATGATAAGTAAATGGAATGGCCCTTCTGAAGGAAGAAAAAGTAAACTAGGGAATCAAACAGAAGGCTTTACCAACAGGCTGATACAATGGCTATTCATAATCCTGTCCTAGAAGTGGCCATGTGAAATCTTGTTACCAATCTCTTGATTTGTAGATGGAAAAATGAATAAAAGAAAAGCTGAAATAAATAAAAATCTATTTACATAAGTTACATGTACTCCCCCTGCCAACAATAAAAATCACCATTAATCCACCACCAAGAGATAAACACCATTAATGTGGTACAACTTTTTCAGACATCTGTAAATTTGTGTGTGCATATGTATTTATATCTATATAAATACTTTTTATGCATAGTGTTTGGTGACCACTTTTCCCCCTACTTAACAATAGATTATGAAACTATTTCATGAAATAGTCCATTTAACTTTATTTTAATTGTCTGAAAGGTATTGCATTGTCAGAATGTACCAGTATTTTAAAACGAATCCTTTTTGTTGAACAAATTGTTTTAAAAATCAAGATGTTACTTCTCTGGATGCCCATCCAATTGATGATTTAGATGTGCATAGAGTGAGTTGAGATAAACTGTGGATGTAGCTCGTGGGAGAGGATGAGGACATTATGTCCACTATGGGTCTGGCTATGTGGGAAAAAAGTAAGAAAAGTGAAGCATTGTGAGAAATGCATTTCTACCTTAAATTTATTGGGATAAATGATTTTTTAGGGCCTACGGGGGCATTACTTACCTACACAAGGATCTATATATCTCACTTGGAATTAGTGTGTTTTCAGCATTGACTGGGGACTACTCTCTTGGACTGTGATTCAAAGGAAATGGAGCAGTCTCAAGACAACCCTTCTCATCCTTAGGAATTGGAAAGAGAGAAGTGACCTGTATATTTCTGACCCTTTGTTGATGATTGTGTGGAATTTGAGTTTTAAGAAAAATGATTACTAAATAAGCATTTTGTTTCTTATTAAAATCATAGAGATCTTTTTTGAGGTGATCTATATTTTTAGATATAGTAATTATCATTTTATTTATTAGAAATAAGATATCCATTTCGTCTCTCTCTGTTTCTCTTTCTTTAGATTCATAAAATAAAAGTATCTTTTATGTAATCTAATACCCAGCTAGGAAAATGTATCAGGCTTACCAGTTCAGCTCAAAAATATGAAAAAGGTAAAGTCTGTTTAGCTTCCCACAACTTTTTCCTTTTCCCTGCTCTCAAATCTGTGAGTCACCATTCTGTGTGAAAAATATTTGGAGTGAGAATTATTCTTTGGCAAGTCATGTTATTAGACAAACTTCCCTATCGCTCAAAGAAATGACCCTTATCTCTTTGCTGGAAGAATGACTTGCGGAGGCATTTAATCTAGTCCAGAATAATTCCTTATGCCTCCCAGGGATTTACTACACTGCTCTCATTGATTTTGTAAATACCACTACCTCATTTTAAAGAAAAGGGCTGCTGTTTATTTCACTAGTTAGTCTAAGTTGGTACATCCCATCAGTTTGGCTTTATAAAGAGAGGCCCTAACAAATAATATTATTAATGATTCACAATATGAAAAAAAAAATGCCTAGATTAGAATATAAAATAATTATAGATATAAAAATAATTATATAATAATTATAAATATAAAAATAATTAAGTGAATAGATACTATGCCATTTTGCCAGGAGGCGTAGGTACAGAATATGACATTGATATCTCTTGGATCTATTAAGACCATTAAAACCATCAGTCTGAGCACTTAAGAGATTTCCTGACTATATGAAGTATGTTGTTTTTAAATGTATTTTTTATATATATGCCCTGTGCCCACTCACCTTTTCCCACCCACATCTCCCTTCCCCTATCCTCCAATAAGCTAATATACCTTAACTAAGGTCAGGCTTCAAGAGATGTTTGTATTGACACTTTGACTGTAAGGTAAGAAGAGATATTTTTAGCCACGTGGCTGGTAAAATCACTCTCACTCTTGCTCTGTAATTTAGTTTTTATTGTCACCATTAACTATGTAAAAGATAAGGAAATTTTATCATATGACCAATAAGGAATTAATACCTAGCGTAGATAGGGAACTTCTAAAACTCCACAACGAACACAACAGATGACCTGATTAAAAAATAGGCAAAGGACTTGAATAGACATTTCTCCAAAGAAGATGTACATGCAATAGCCAATAAGCTCCTGAAAAGACGTCCAACAGCACTAATTGTTAGGGAAATGCAAATCAAAACGACGGTGAGATATTATCTCATATCCATTAGGATGGCTACTGTTATAAGTAAAAACAAAACAAAAACAAAAAATAACAAGTGTTGGTGAGAATGTGGAGAAACTGGAACACTCATGCACTGTTGGTAGGATTATAAATGGTGCACTATAGAAAACAGTATAGAAGTTCCTTAAAAAATTAAAAATGGAACTACCATATGATCTAGCAATCCCACTTCTGGATATATATCCAAAAGAATTCAAAGCAGAGTCTTGAAGAGATATTTATTCACCCATGTTCATAATCTACAGGCTTTGGTGAGGCAAATGTGAAGGTCAAGAAAAATAACAAGTCAAAATGGGTTTGATATTTCTATACAGAATGCTTAGGAGCTTGGTAACGCTACCAGCAAAATAACAGAAACATAGAAGCAACATGTGTGGGGAGAAGATGAAGGTTCTAGAGATCTTTAGTTTAAAATGCCCAGGTTATACACAGGTAGAGATACCCAATGTTTAGCACATTACCCAGTACATGATAGGTTTTGGGGAGAATTCTACATCCCTACTCCACATATTTCTTTCCATGAGAAGGGATCCCCACCCATGCAAACATTTTAGACTCTCTCTCCCTCTCTCACTCTTCCCTGGAGGAGAAGGAATTAATTTATCTGATTGGTGAGTATATTAGGAGAAGCTGGAAATCAGCAGCTCAGCTCTTTCTTTTTCTCTTTCTCTTTAACCAACTCTCAGGAGGTATATATTCTGGTCTGCTCCTCCAAGTCATCAATTTTTCAGGGGTAGAATCTGCCCTTGCAGGAGGAAGCCTCCCCCAATCTAGTTTTGCAGCTCACTTGCCTGCCTACAAAGCCTCATCCTTTATTATCAGATTTTATAGCAAAAAAAAGGTGATATTTTGGTTTTCTGGTACCTTACTGTTTTTGTTCTTCTCTTTAATTAGTTCAGAAATACTCCTTTGAACACCAACAGTAGGTGCTCAAAAATATTTACTGAATAATTGTGTTTTTCACTGACACATCTAGTAACATCTGTAAATCCAGATGTGGAACTCAGGACAGAGTTCAAGCTAAGGAGGTAGATTTTGAAATGATCAGCGTGGAAGTAATGCTTGTCAGGCTTGAACGGGGTTACTATTATTTTTGTTTTTATAGGTAATATTTATTGAGTCCTTGCTGTGTGCCAGGCATCCTTCTAAGTGCTTTACATGTTAACTCATTAATCTTAAGAACCCTATGAAGTAAGTTATTGTT